TAGTTATTTCAGATATAGTATTTAAATTGGGTAAACTAGAATATTGAATAAAAATACTAAGAGTTCAACCTCATATCTGCTTAGCTGCAAATATTTTTCACAACCTTCCTAACTCATATGCCTTTTTCTAATATGCCTCCTTTCAAAAGGTGAAGACATATGCCACATGTATTGAAAACTTTCTTCAAATTTTCATTACAAAATTGAGCCCATAAAGGATAATGTATCTTCTGAGGGATAGATGAATGAAATTAAGCTTTAAACCTGTTAACCAGGGAGTTCTCTTTTTAATTACGCAATGTACAACGGACACATACTCTTTCACTAGGACGTGTCAGTATGTCTCGCCCAGTGGACGTAATTTTATATTATTATTTCTTTTATTTATACTTAATTAAAATGAATGAAATATATATTTTTTCATTTATTTATATATAAAGCACAAAGGAAAATACAAAATTACAAACAAATAGAAAAGAATACCTACCAAAAAATGGAAACATCAAATTAAAAAATTATAAATTTTATAAACAATTATAAAGAATTACAAACAATATTTTTTATTTCTATACACAATAAAAATATTAAAAAATTAACAATTACAAAACAATAAACAAAAGCACACAAATAAAATAGAAATATTGAGTTTAAAAATTGAAATATAGATATAAAAATTCAAAACTCAACTTCCGTGTGATATATTTTAAAACAATTGTTGATACATAGTGCTACCTTACAATCCGGACACCAGTATGTAGATTCTTTCCTAACACCTTTTTTGTAGCAAACTAGGCATTTACTGGATTTAGTTTTTCCTATATCACTTTTCATTTGTTCTGGAAAGTGCCTTTCAACTAAGCATGATGGTTTAGATGTAGAGCTGCTTGTTGATGTCTTTGGGTGGGTTTTCACTATGTTGTTATCTACCAATTTCTCTACACACTCTATCAAAAAGTGTAATCGATCCAAATGATCTTTATCTTTTTTGTATATAATATATGCATTGAAGCAGCACATATCAATTGTAGAAAAAATTTTTTATAAATTTTTATAAAATTTTTTACCCTATTATGGGCAGCTGTGTAGGCCACCATAACTCCATCTCCCAAATCTACACTGCCCATATTCTTGTTATAATCCAGGACAACATTCGGTTTTTCTTGCCTTCTTCCTCTCTTTTCAATCATTGTCTTTTCGTCATTATGAATAGAACTGAGCATCAATACGTCTTTTTTATCCTTCCATTTTAAAACCATAAGTTTGTCTTTGATTCTTACATATGTTCATTTTTCTATAATTTTTTTGTTTTTAATTCACTGGGGATTCCGACTCTGTTTATCCTCATTTTTCCAACAATGTCTGTATTGTTTTGACACAAGAGTTCAGCCAAATGAATTGACGTATAGAAATTATCTAAGTAAATCCTATACCCTTTATTCAGTAAGTCATGTGTTAACTCCAAAACAATTCTTGATTGTTTTTCTTGTGGGTAGTTCGAACCACAATTTGTGTCCTTGCCTGTGTATAAAATTATATTTTGTACATATCCAGATTGGCCTTCACTCAAAATAAACAATTTCATTCCAAATCTAGCTCTTTTTGTAGATATATATTGTTTCCAAGATAAATTCCCTTTTCATAATAAAAGAGATTCATCTACACATATTTCTCGTTCACATACATAAAAACTTTTAAACCTTTCTGACAAATTAATTGATGACTGGATCAATTTTATATGTTTTTTTATTATATAAAGGTTGGAGATATAAAAATATTAAGTAAATAACATATAATATGAAAATAGGTAGGTAAGTGTAACTACTTACCCATCACTGCTCACCCAGAACACATCCACCACTCTCAATAGCGAAATTATACTGATTCCCTCCGTGTCTTAAATTCATGTCGAGACATGTATGGATGACTAATACCTTTGTTGTTCAGAAATATACATCCCACCCATTTCAGGGCGCAACATATATTTCAAGGACGTATTCATACGTCCTACCCGTACCCAATATTGTTTACATTGGATGTATTTATAAGTCCAAGGTAAAAAGAATACCATATCTTTTTACCTTGCAGGCATAAAGTATGAGTATTTTCAGAAAGTGTTTTCTAAAATTACAATAAAAGTACAGTGCCAGCCCTGCAGAAAATATTGGGTCACATGAAAAATATTATAAAGGGAATGAAGAAGCCACAGAAATAAAACAAGGATCAGGGAGGAGGTGCCTTCCTAACCACAGTATGAAGGATAGCATACTGTGAAACTGAGCCTATAGATGAAATTTATAATTTCCTGGACACATATGTGCACGTATACACACACACACGTGCACACACACATGCCTTTCTCTTCAACCAACCCCTTCCTCCAGTCCTCTAAAGTCCTTTAGGTAATAACAACAAAAACTATTAGAGCATGGATTATCCACTCCCTAGATGCCAGGTCAGCCAATGGACTTCAGTTGGAGACCAGAGGCTTTAAGACCTACTAACTGAAAACTTCTTATGGATAAGTGCAGTCAAATTGAGCCAGGAACACAATACATTGCTTTTATTATATCAAATTTTCTTCTCCTCTGAAATATGATCTCTCAAATTCAAAGAAATTACTACACAACAAAATAATCTGAACAATGAAAGATTGTCTAACTGATCACATTTAAAATAGGATTTCACCTGAACCATTTAAAAACTTGAAAAAAAATCTATATTTTCACACTATTTAAATTCCATCCAGAGATAGCTCTCTGCTTTATTCAAGAATTCTCCTTTCCAAATCACCACCTCTGAAGTATAATTGAGCAACCTACAAAAAAATCAAAGATTTCTATAAAAGGCTTATTGATTCTCTACTCAGGGCTCTCATTTCATAGCTCCAAAAAATTGACCAAATTGGCCCAAATGTATACATACAAATATATATATTCACACACATGTTTATATAAGTTATAGTTATACCTCCACAATGCAGACACGTTTTTTGTAGTGTACTCCAAATGCACTTTAAATATAGACATCATTGTTTTGTTTTTAGTGATGCAGTTTTGTAACTATATAAATTAACTGCCTGGTATTGGTACAACAGGATTACTCATTAAATGGTACAATGTTTTAGCTCAATGAAATCAACACAGTTGTACAGTAAGTCCTCACCTGATGAAGTCCCTAGGTTCTTAGAAACTTCAACTTTAAGGACACAACATATAACAAAATAAATTTTACCCTAGGTTAATTGACATAAATAAGAGTTAAGTTCCTATACCATATTTCTGGTCACAAAAACATCACCAAACTTCTAACTAAAGACCCAAAATACTCCTAATATTAAACATTGAAATAAATGTGAATTGTACATACATTTGAGAAAAGAGTATAAAAGTAAATAAGATAATGATTTCCCACTTATTCAGGGATGTAGGGAGCTGGAGCCCATCCCAGCTCAGAGTGCAAGGTGGGACTCACGCTGTATGGAACATTTCCATCACAGGGCACACTGACACACACTCACACTCACTCAGCCACTTCACCTAATATGTGCATCTTTGGATCTGGGAGGAAACTGAAGGCCTCAGAGAAATCAACAAACACATGGGGAGAAGGTGCAAACTCCACTTCTCTAGCCAGGAATCATTTCCCCCCTCTCATCAACATTATAAAGAAAGGATGTTGAATGAAACATTATTGAGAACATGCTTACTGGGAAAACCAAAATTTCTTCATGAATATTCAACCAAAGACAATTCTTCCAAAAACATTACTGTAAGTAATAATTATAATTGCTACCACTCATAACACTGAAAGAAACCAAATTTTACCTTCTTTTAAAATAAATCTTAGTTAACATTATTCATCACAGGTAAGGAGAATAAAAACCTGAATAAGTCTATAAAGACAATATTTTCATACCGTGTTAATAATATCAAAGCAATATATTTGCTATTATTTTTCAGAGGTAAAAAATTAAAATATTGTATGGTTTATTCTTAAAAAAACAACTTGAAAACAATAGCAAGATTCTCTAAAGTTTCTTTTGTATAGTTGCTAAAAATCGGTACAATTCCTCATTCCTATCAATTATAAAATCGAGGAGAATAAAATAAAATAATCCCTAAGTATTTTGATTTGTATAAATCCATATTTTTTCTTTCCATAGTTCTTAATAAAATAATTTATTACATTTATGCCAAATAGCTCAAACAAAACTACCAAAAAAGTCTAGACATAATATATTTGAAGTGCTATTTTCTAGTAGATAATAATATTCCCTTAACAAAGTTTTTAAAATTTTTGTAAAATAACAGATCTCATGTTTTAAAAAAATAGCAGATCTGCAACCAACCAAACTTCTTTTTTAAGTATTAAAGAAAGTGGAAGGATTAGAAAGATTAGAAATAGCAAATTACTTCTCTTAGTTGATATTTATAGGTGAAAACCAGACAATCCTCCAAAGCTACAGGTGGTTAATTCATAAAGGATTGGGATAGTTGTTATTTTAAGTTGTCAGCTTATATCATTTTCTTACTTCTATTGCATTAACCCAGAAAAATATAAATTACATGAACTTTTTAAAATAAGTATGCAAACCTATAAAAAGGAATTGAGGCGAAACCGGTTTGGCTCAGTGGTAGAGCGTTGGTCTGTGGACTGAAAGGTCCCAGGTTCAATTCCGGTCAAGGGCATGTACCTTGGTTGTGGGCCCATCCCCGGTAGGGGGTGTGCAAGAGGCAGCTGGTCGATGTTTCTGTCTCATCGACGTTTCTAGCTCTCTATCCCTCTCCCTTCCTCTCTGTAATACAAGTCAATAAAATATATTTTAAAAAAATAAAAGGAATTGAAACTTCTTCTAAGGTGTCAATATTCATTTGCTTTTACTAAAAATGTTTTTTGTTTTTTTTGTTTTTTGTTTTTTTTTTGCTTAGAAATTTGGCTACCAAATATTTCAAAATGAAGACAATCATCTCACATCCATATGTAATATAAATATTGCTTACCTCCGTCAAGTGTGGCGTAGGGTTAAATCCACAGAGATTACACACTTGTTGCTTGCACTCGGTGCAAGTGTTGAAATTAGGAGGCTCCTTGGAACCTACGTTGAGCTCAGTTTTGCAGAGAGGACAGGCTGATGCTGGTTTGGAGGGTTTCTCCACTTGTGGGGGAAGCTCAGCCTTTGGAGGCTCAGCTGCTGATGGTTTTCGATCTTTGGTAGGCTGAGGCTTCTTTTCTGTTTCTGTTCTTTTGACGGTTGGAACTTGCTCAGCTTTGGGCTCTAATTTTTCAGCTCCTGGAGCTTTTGCTTCCTTTTTCACAGGAAGGACCTTGGCAGGTGCTGGTGGTGCCTGACCTGTAGACTTGGGTGGCCCCTGAGAAGGAGGGGGCTGTGCGGGAGGAGGGGCTTGTTTTGCTGGGGCTCCTGGCCCACTCTGTGCATGAGATCCAGGCTGGCCTGCTGTGGAGATTAAATTTGATGCCTGGCTGAAGATTGACGCTCCAAACCCAAAGAGCTTCCCCGTCATCGTTTCTTGAGGGGTGGTGGGCTGTGACTTAGGAGCATCAGTAATACTCCCCACATTCAGGCTGAAACGCCTTGACTGCTCCTGAGGCTTTGGTGGCTGGGGAGATTGGGGTGCAGTTTGGCCAGCGGTAGGTCGTGGGCCGGAAGGTGTTGGTGACCCTTTTGGCACAGGCTTGGCATCTGGCTTAGGGCTGGTTTTGGTTTGTGTTTTCTTGGGTTCTTCCCTCTTTTGGACTGGGTCCACTTGTTTTTTACCTTTGCTCTCCGCACTGGGCCCCGGATGTGATAAAATTTTCGAATCTGATGCAGGCCGAGGTATGACTTTAGAATCGAATGGGGTGACTTTTTCTCCAGTTGGTGGGAAACTCTGTGAAGGTTTGGCAGAGTCTGTTTTCAGGGGAGGAGCTGTTTTCTCTTGATCCTGGGGTTGTATTTTGGAGCTTGGAATATCAGGTTTTGTTGCTGTTGGCGATGAAGACACAATGTCTGTGGCTGGCTTCGCCGTCTTGGGCTGCTTTGGTTTATCATCAGCCATGGGGACCTTGGCCGGCTCGGATGGGACAGAAGGCTCTTTGGGAGGGGCTGGCTTGGATGAGGATTCTGCCACGTGAGGCTGCTTGGCCGTGACGGGGGGAGAACCGTGAAGGGTTGGTTGTTTCAATAGTGGTGGAGGTTTTTTAGACTCAGGTGCCTTTGAGATATCCTGTTTGGGAGCAGTATCCTTCTTCGGAGAAATCTGCTGTGACTGTGGGGATGGCTTGCTCACCACTGATGCGGGAATAACTGGGGCTGCCTTCGGTTTGGGCTGGGGTGATGATGGAATGGGAGCCAGGTCACCTCCTAGAGCTCTTTGCATCTGACAATTTAAACAGAGCCACTCTTTTACCTAGAAGTAAAATAAAACAATGGTCACTGAGACAGAAACAACGTGAAAACATTTTCAAAATGCATGGTATCATCTGAAACACTGTCTCTCATCAAGCAAAACATAAAAGATCAAATTACTAGAATTAAATAATATTCAAGTAATTACCTTAAAATATAATTAATGAACCTCAGAGACTTAAGCACTCTATTTTTTTTAAGGAAATATGAGAGTAAAAATCAACAGAATTGTATTTTCCTTCTAAAGTTAATTGCCATCTTTCACCTTTGGTTTACTCGAAGTTTGATCACTCCCAGCATGTATCATAAAAAAAATAAATTGTAATATAGATTAGATTCCATAAATCAGTTATGTTAGATACTTTCTCTATTGATGGTTCACAACAGATTTTAGTTATACAACCCGGAATAGGCTTGTCAAATTATGAACACATTGCTGATTTCCTAAATTAGCACAGCATTACTTCCCCCTCCAGGAGACATAATCAAATGTGTGAAAAACAAAAATCATTAACCATGCTGGATTAAAAAGAGAACATTCTCTGTTAACAAAATATAGAAAAAAATAATGGCAACCCCTCCCATCCAATCAGCATAAATAGCATGGTCTAATAAAGAAAATACTGTTTCCTTTTAATTTTCTGAATATACTGGAAAGAGCAATGTAAGGAATACAAGGAATACAATGTAAGGAATACAAGTCTTATTTGACTGGTGAGAAACATATACAAGTGAGAAATACATCATACACACACACACATACACACACACACACACACACACACACACACAGAGAATCTGTTGAAAATAGAAATAATTTTAATCTCAGCATTTAAAATACTATCTATAGGTACATCTATATACACACACACACACACACACACATACACACACAAGTGTGTGTGTAAGTATAGGTATAGATGCTCTTTTCAAATCATGTCCAATGTAAAAAAGAGATGTTGAAGTTGGTATTATATATTTTGGGGGGGTTATTTAAAAGTACCTATGTTTAACATTACCTTTTCAAATTCCAAAATAATATATGCTTAATATATAAAATTTTATATAACCAAAGTAATTAGAATGGCAAACTTTACATGATACAATCTCTCCAGCCAAAGTAACTAATGTTACCAATTTAGCACTGAAGTTCTTTGTGTGTAGATTTCTATGTGGTAAAAAAGTAAATATATGGAGCACAGGTACCAGAAATGTTTCCTGCCATATAAAATCGTGAAGTCTTATTCAGCTGGTAAACAACATACTCTTTATCTGCAAATAATTTCCTTTTGAAAAGAAATTGAATTAATCATCACTAAACTTTTATTTGTAATATGATAGTTTATAGCTAAGCTTTTTAATGGAAAAAAATGACATGAATATTTTTCTTAATCATTAAAATTTAAGTCTTAACATTTTAAAAAGCACATTAAAATTATTTAAACTCACACACCTATATAACAAGCCTTATTTTGCAATCTCACAGAGGGAAATTTTTTATTTAGAGAAGATTAAAAGAGATATTTAACACTAACTGACATGCTATATTTCTGTTTAAAAATCTGTATCAAAAGTATCGATAGAATTAAAATTTGTTAAGTATGAGTGAGAGATAGGGGTGTTCACTATATTTGTTCTCAATATGGGCGTTGAATACCTATGTATATTTTTATCTTTACCTTTCTGTATGTTTGAAACATTTCACAACTATATATATAAATATGTGTGTGTGTGTGTGTGTGTGTGTGTGTGTGTGTGTGTGTGTGTGTATATATATATATATATATATATATATATATATTACTAAAAGCCCAGAGCACAAAATTTGTGCATGGGGGAGTGTCCCTCAGCCCAGCCTGCACCTTCTCCAAACTGGGACCCCTTGGTGGATGTCCAACTGCCAATTTTGGTCCAATCCTTGTGGGATCAGGCCTACACAGGCAGTCGGATATTCGTCTCACAATTCATGGCCTCTGGCTCCTAACCACTCGCCTGCCTGCTTGCCTGTCTGATCACTCCTAACCACCTCTGCCTGCCAGCCTGATCACCTCCTAACCATTCCCCTGTCGGCCTGATCTCTGCCTAATTGCCCACCCCTGCCAGCCTGATCACCCCAACTCCTCTCCAAAAGCCAGGGCCAATGGAAGCCAGCCCCGGTCCTGGATGCCTGCGGGAGGCCTGAGGAAAGCCTGAGGAAAGCCAGGCCAGGTCCTGGGTGCCTGCTGGCAGCTAGAGGGAAGCCCAAGCCCAGGGAAGCCGGTGCTGGCAGCCTGGTTCCTGGGTGCTGGAAGAAATCTGGTGCCAGCAGCTGGGGGAAGGAAGGCCCACTCTTGCACAAATTTTCATGCACTGGGCCTCTAGTTTTCCTATAAACTATCATGTGAGATCTGCATCCACATTAACCACTTGTACTTAAAAACTCCTAGGGTCAGTGACTTTCAATATAGTTAAACTAGAGGCCCAATGCATAAAACTTGTGCAAGGGGCTTGGCCCTCGCAGCCACAGTGGCTTGCCTCAGCCCTCGCAGCCCCAGCTTCATACAGAAGGTTGTCCAGAAGGACATCAGGGAGGTCATTCAGCTGTCTGGTCTAATTAGCATATTATGCTTTTATTATAGTTAAATTACTACTATTCTTTTTGACAAGTGCCAAAACAAAGGAGATGCCAAATTTATTCATTTATTTATTCAAATATTTATTCAGATATATGATCCTTCAATGTTCCTCCCCGCTGTTAAAATACATTGTCTATAGTTATCCTATATTATAAAAGCCTAATATGCTATGTGTCCAGTAGTCCATTCAACCAATCAGAGCATGCACCAGGCCTCTGTCACAATATAAAAAGCATTCTCTACTTTTAGGATTTTTTTTTTTTAGAAAGAACCTCCTTTTCATTTAGTTATACAGCCTAAATCTGTTAAAAATTGTTTTTATCTCAGCACTTAACAATTTAATATTGAAAACAGGATGATTTTCAAATTTCTTAATTCAACTGAGAAAAACAACAACAAAAGCCTTCCTATACATTTCAGAAAATGAAAAAGGCCATAACCTATTTCAGCCTTAACATCATGAACCGCCTCCTACTTCTCTTCAATGCACTTAGGGAGCATAAGGAGTAATAATACAACCTTGGCCCTCTCAGTCCTCTGAGTTAAAATTTCTGCCACATTGTACCTGCATTCTCAATTATTTCTCAAGTGTGTCTGCACTGCTTATGAAAGGTAATTTCCCATTCACTCTTTCATATGTCCAAGCCAGTGTTCCTCATTTGGTCCTCCTTCTTTATCATTTCTTATATACCTTATAATTCCACCAAATATAAACTGTTTAAAACAAAATATAGAAGGGGTTACCTTTATTTTCCCCTCAATCCTCATCTCCAATAACTGAAATAAAGTTTAGTTTTTTTTTGTAAGAAATTCAATATATAAAATTGTGTTAGTGTTCTTCTGCAAGCACTTACAAAATTCTTTTTCCAGATCTGTAACCACCAAAAGACAATGGTGAGGACTTCATGGCAGTGTGATCTTTCTATTGATCCCAGGGTACAACGGACCAATAAAGCAATCTCAATGTTCACAAATATTTTTTGAGTTGGTTTGAATTAAATAAATTAATTGAAAATGTTTGTGCTTTTCTGCCTACAACATTTGTTTACTCTGCTAATTCCCAGTTTACCCACCCTGAAGGGCAGGCTTCTGCCCTCCTTTTCTGGTTACATGCCGTTCTCCCCAGATCCCTAGTCTACACCTCTGCCCATGGTTCCCCTTTGATTCAAACTAAAAGCGTCCCCCTTAATCACCGTATCTGCTAACCATATCTTCCCTGAATAAAATTACTGCCTTGTGTCTCTCCTAAAATTAAATGTTTATCTCTAACTCTGAGCAGAAATGAACCTGAATTTGTTACCATCATTGCCTTAGACACTTACTGCCAATTCCACCTGGTACCCATGTCTATGACACAGCTGGTTCCCCTAAGTCTGCAGGATTGGCCTTCATTCCATTGTAACTATGAATGAAGATCTTAAAAGATGTTAGTCTTTATCACTTCTTCCCCATGCCACAATTCGCAGAAGCCTTCCATCCATATTTCATGAACAACTTCCCAGGTCACCTGTCACAAGGAGCACCCACTCCCTAAAATTATGATCTAATTAGATCCAATTATTTTACACTCTAATCATCCACATCCATTTGAAATATGGTGAGATAAATACAAGAAACAATATCAGGGAAGCCCACAATTGGATCATGTGTCCCAGAAGAATTCTTACCTTCAATATACAAGCATTAAAATGAAAAATTCTAACTGAACTAGATAAATGTGTTATGCCTCAACTACTGCTAAAGTTTAGGGTTCATATATTAAGGAAAAATAGTCATCTTTTGCTTTTTCCACCTTAGTTACAGAAAGTGCATAAATAAAATAGGAAGTGAATAAAAATAATTCAAAGTCTGGAGACACAACTGTTTAATGAGCTACTCTATTTCAATTAGCTCTAATAGGAAGGAACAAAAGAAAGGCATACAGCTATTCATTCAGTCCTCTGACTTAATATGCTGCAAAAATGAGGTTAAGGGAGTGGTCAGCCAGGATTTCTGCTCATTCTGAGGTCCCTGTGTTTTATAAGATAGACTTGCATATAATTTCTATAACACAATTCCCTGTTTAATCCAATTCCCTTTTGTTATGTATCAGAGCTGTAGAATATAGTATTACAACTTTCCTTGCTAAGGACTTTGCTGAATAATGAGAAATATCTTATTTATAGCTGTTTCAAGAGGTACCACTTGAATTTAAAAAAAAATTCTTTATCGATCAAGGTATTACATATGTAAGCTTATTCCCTCATTACCCGCCACCATCCATTCATGCCCCCACTCCCCTGTGGTCTGTGTCCATTCATTAATTAGGCTTCTATGCATGCATGTAAGTCCTTTGGTTGATCTCTCTCCCTTATCCCCACCATCCCCTACCTTCCCCGAGTTTGAC